AATGCATACACACGGAATGAATAAACGGACATGCTATATTGCCATCAATAAGCGACGGGGTATTAAAAAATGAAATGCATGAAATGAGTGTGTGTTCTGATTTCATATCGCTGTCAGAAATCATATACAAACGACGTTCGGCGCGTGTGCGGAAATTACGCGATAATTCTTCAATTTGAAATTGGGAACACGGGCGACACAATTTAATGTTAAATGAACAATGTACATATTCTTAGATTTTAAATTTAAAAAGGGCCATATTTCCGATCCAGAAGTTACAAGTTTTGGCATGATGCTCATTTTTTGTTCGACGATTTTGATGTTTTCAAATCTGGATAATTTAAGCATTAATATATTATAATAAAATGGAAAAGAAATGTTTCTAATAATAATAGTAGTAGACGGGGTATCACATTCACACTCTAAGTCCAATGGCAAATAGTCATCATATCTTCTTATGTAAATTGAAATTAATTCGTTCGACTCATTTTTTGTCAAGTGGTACACGTACACATGCATCATAATTGAAGTTGGGTACTTTTCTTGACACTGATCACTTTATCAGCAATCAGCATTATTTATTTTTTTGTAGTGTGTTGAAAGGACGCATATGCGATGACATTTTTATCGGGCACTGTTGAAAATGATCTCAAAAGATATTTTGTGAAACAGAAATGGGCGCTTATTGTAATTTTGCCAATTTACGTAATAACGAAATTCGCTCACATTTTCCATGTGAATGTAATAAATTAAGTTGAACCATTGCTTGATATGTTTCTATATTGCTATTTTGCTTGTAAAAAAAACGTTGCCTATTATATAATCGATTTACATCGATTTTTTTGTATGTTTACGATGTATCTAAAATCAATAAAACTGCATTCAATTGGGCTATTGGCATTTCAAGTCAACTGAATTAGGCAAATTAATTTTCCCGTTTTGCTTTTATTTGATTGTGGCAGAGACAGCGAAGTAATAAAAATCGTTGTGTCATTTAAATTCATAAGCGTACACAGTTTTAATATGATAAGTTAAAGAACGTTAAAATAGATTGCGATAACATTGAATAGTGAAAAAAAAAACATAGAGATGACATCGGGAATGAAATAGAGAGTGAACAAAAAACCGTACTAGCAATGACGGCGTCCAAAAAAACCCAATTTTCAAATTCACTCCATGCCAGCGCGTATTCCGGTTCCGAAAGTTTTTATGCATTTCATTGAAACGCCTCCCTATTTTTCAAACGTTTCGTACAACTTTACACCAAATAATGGGCAGAAAATCGATGGCATCAGTGTGCATACAATCGATTCGAGAGTATAGAGTAAAATGTACAGTGTGGCCTGTGGTAACTGTGACTGTGATGAACGGAACAAGAAAATGAACAAAATCGAATTTCATGTACGAAAGCGTTTGCGCAATTGCAGGCAATGTAGGGAGAGTATAGTTACGTTAAACCAGTGATTCTAATGAGGGGTGATGCTAATTATAATTTGCAAATATTAATTATTTCGATAAAAATCTACAGCTGTCCTTTTTCATTTTGTATTTCATTCGTTGTGTTTATGTTGTTGATGCTTTTGTAACCACTACAACATTTCCCATTGCCACTTTGCCATCGATACTCAAATATTTTTCTGGCATTTTGACCTTTTTTGCTTGCTCTCTCGCTCTCTTCCGTAACGATACATCTCTTATACGGACAATGAATGTGTGCACATGTATAAAGTTTAGATGTTTTCTGTGTGATGTTGTCATTTCGAGTGCTGTTACGATTACGATCGGTCTTTAGTATCCAGCCCATTGAAAACATTTGGTAATTTATTACATTATACGGCTACTTGCATATATTGACCTTTTTTTTCTTCTTCTTTTGTTGCCACTGTTGTTACGTTCAATGAGAAATTAATCTTTAAACTAATTGAATTGACTGAATGGATTCACCAATTCTTTGATTTGATCTTTAAATGGCTAAATTGCATTGATTGCACTGAAATAAACGAATTTCACATTGAAACGAATAAATTGGTACAAGGCAATACAGTCGACGCATATTGAGGCTCATGTTATTACTTAATGATGAATAGCCGATGTTAGAGACATCAAACAGTGATGCTTATCACTCCATTGACCAAGTGCATTTTTACCATGATAGCAAATGAACTTCCATTTTCCCCATTTATTCAGAGCAATTTCATCAAATGACAAACTATCAATATGAGATACACTGCGAATGTAACAGTCAAATAAAATGCATCGTTTAATTTATTTTGTATAATTGTTGCTCTCAATGACGAACCGACCAACATCTTACGGTCTTTACGATCTATAAAGGGATAATTCGTCTTTGGATTAATTGTTTGTTTTTGAGAAGATGTTTTTTTCCGTAAAATACTTTTATGAGATTGAAACGATTCAATTAAGTATTGCAGCATTATTCGCATAAAAATCAATTCAATTGAGGATTTAAAGGAAATGGTTTTTGTTGGAGCATCTACTTAAAATTCAAGTTTCAATAAAAAAAAAATCCCACTAGAATTTCAACACCTTTGTGGTGTAACTTTGAAGATTTCCCTTGATGTCATTGACTTTAAAATTTATAATGAAATAAAAGAAACATTTTGCCACAGGAAGTGCCATTCTATCAATACGATATTGACGGATGTAGTTAGCATGATGTCAAACTTTTCTCCCTGCTAACACGAACAAAAAAAAGTTGTAAAATGTTGACAAAACATAGAGACATTTGAAATAAAAAGAAGAAAAAAAAACCGATGAAATACGTATACATTCATAAGTGACGTTTTGTTGTTCAATGTCATTATTCATTAGCAAATCCCATTTGGATGTTTGAAGCAATTTGTGTAGCATCGAGTCCGGAACTCAATGTTTTGAAACAGTCTCGTACACACTTTTCGATCAATGGGTAGAATGAATGAGCTGACATAAAATTGTGAATGTTGTTATTGTTGTCGCTCTGTTCAAGCCAGATTATTCAGCGATTCATTGATGTCGCAAGTGTAGTCACTTATTGTTGCTTATATTTATTTATTTTATTATTTTGAGTTGCAGTGTGGGTTGATTTTACACGGATCCATATCCCTGGGTTCACATCGCTCCCAACAAAATATGCAATTTGAAAAGCATGAGGACTATGTCTTATTGTTTATCGGATTATACAAACGCTTTCGTTTACTCGACTTCGTTATATATATACAACATTAACTTCTCCTCCGCCTTATCATCCTCAATAACACATTGCAGTTTCATACAGTTATTGTAATAAAATTTCAATAACATTCATAAAATTGTATAACGTCGGCGGCAACAAATTTGTATTCAAGTAAGTGTTGAACGTTCAATCATTAACGCTCTCGAGAGAAGAAAATAAAAGGGATATCGCTTACTTGCTTATACGGTTTATCGTCTATCGTTCCACTATGTACACATTTTAAACAATGAAAATATACAAACATTTATAACAATTGTTGCGATACGGGGTTACATAATAACGTTATGGTTTTTCTCACATTGAACAGTCATTTGATGATGCGTATCAAAACAACATAACAATTATCTGATTTGCGCATTTTCAAGTATCGTATAAAAGAGAGGAAAAAAAAACTTTGCGAATATCTATTTAAAATTCAATAAAAAATTCCATCATTTCTTCTTTCAAATTTCCATATAAGCCAAAATAAAGTGTGACCCGAACAAGATGCGCTGTATTCGGCTATATCTTAGACATGTAGACATGAAAATCGTCATATAGATATTTGTACTAATAAATCATCGCGTTACAAATATTCATTGACGATGTTTAAGCGTATAAATTTCAATTGAAAATACTCGACAATACACTCTCAAGTGCACTTCAATACATAATAAACATTCTGCTTTACATGTTTTTATTCGGTTTGCGGTTCGGAAATATGCACAAAAGTCTTTGATGTAATGTATTTAATATACACTTAACGTAGATAAACATTATGAAAAATCATGGTTATCATCGAAAATGGTCGGGACATGAAGAAGAAAAAAAAAACACACAACAACTACGTGAATGTAGTTACACGATTCGGTTGTATGTGTACCGAAGCGTGTGTGCGAAAAATGTTGTCAAAACCGGGTGAAAAACACACGACGTGACTGGATTAGAGGGAACTGCCACACGAATAAGGGTGCGCATATAAATGAAAAACAATTCAGCGATCATCACTCTAATGATGACTTAAACTATTCATTCATCCTTCTGCTCTGCACCGAATACATTGACGCATCCGTTGCATATACGAATTGTAACGAATTAATTGGTCTCACTACTATGACTTTGAAATAATAGAATTTATATGCGAAAACCGTTTGGAAACGGTACATTTGAACAGAACGTAACTTATTTGATTAACTCTTTGTTCTAATTCAGTTAGATTCGATCGGCATCATCAATGTAGTTGACACTTTTTTTACTCGCTCTCTTTTGATTGAGTCGCTTTGATGGGCTTACAAAAACAATTCGCTTCAGTCATTTTTATGTTTACATGTTACAACTCGTTGTAATCATGTCTCTTTTTTCAAATGAAACAAGTGCATTTCTAATTGTGTTGAATATAAAAAAAAGTGTTGAATATAAAAAGATTTGGATAAGAAAATTATTTGCGGAGTGCATGCAAATTCGAACGATATTTCGAACAATTTCGCAGCCAGACAAGTTCAACAAAGTTTGTCGTCTGAAGTAATTTCGTGTGTGTCTTTCGATAACAAAGCATTTACGTATACACAAAAAATGCGAAGATTTTTCGCTCTACTTCACCATACAATTTTCTTTCGATCATAGCAACACATCCGTTCCTTAAATTGTACATTTAAAAAAAAAAAATAGACTTTTGGATTAGTGCCACATAAAAATAGAAACACTCATTAACGAAATACAAGAATTGTGATACCAATAAAAAACATTTTTTTACAACCAATTTATTTCTTCTTCTTTTTTTCGTTTACAGACATTGCAGTGGATTGGAACGCTACGTTTAAAATATTTTGGACAATCATTGATTTGTTTTGATCAGGGGCCCAATCAATCAACTTCATTTTACATTTCAAAATCGAACGCGTTTTGGGAGAAAAACGTACTCAACCAAGCATCCACAATCTGATAAACTTATCTACCAAAATAGTTGTCACAAGATATTTTTTCCAAACTGATTGGAACCAGCTTGCAGCACCCGTTAATTCGGGATGGTGCTGACACATTTTGGAAGATGCCACACGCAGGTATAGTAATATTTTCCAATCTATTATTGAAAAGCGAAAAAGGATAAAGAAGGAGAAGAAACAATTTAAAATGTCCTTTTGGTTTTGAAACGAAATAAAAATATTTCTGTCTGCATGCTCGTAATCAAATCGAATAAAATATGACATAAAATGATGACATGCGACGATCGAATGTGATTTTATTGTATGGTTCTCCTATTAATTTTGCGGCCAAAAAAAAAACAAATATGGGGAATGTAATTGATTTTCGGTTCTCATTTCATGAACAATGACAATTGGTAAACAAATTAAATTACAACGATTGAAGCAATCGAAACACGAGCACAATAGAAATTACAGAGAAAATGAACATAAAACTGGCAGACCCTCTGCTCTGATGTTTGACGATTTTTGCTGGTCGGTGTGCAAAGTGTGCGCACACGTTCACAAAAGCCATAATTCGCAAAATGCAAGGAACATTTATAATATTGATGTGCACCACTGCACCAGCTAGTTTCTCGCATCTAAATTTCATCTCTGTTTTTTTGCAAACAAACAAAACGAAGACGAAATCATCGAGTAGTACATATATTCCGGTTTTGTTCTCTCTCGATTGTTGCTTGTCAAACTTTAAATTATGTATGTGGTAAATTCACATCTTATTTTGATGAGATGGATTTTTTTTTTTGCTGAACACAAAGAAAATGTATATGTTTGGACTATCGCAGCATGAATAAATTCGAAACCAAAAAGAAGCATCGATAGCAGTATCGTTGTAAGTTCATTTCCTTCTTCGCCGCATCAGTTTATTTACATGTGAACGCATTCGCACGCTGGAAACAGTAGGAATATTAAAAAATATATATAATACCGAAAATACAGTTATTGCAAAATAGAATGAGAAAAAAAAACGAAACGTTGGAAAAAAAAAGCATCCAATAAGTCTGAATTAAAATCTCCACGCGAACACACAGGCACACACACAACTTTTACACACTACATTGCACAGAAATAACAGCTTTTTTAATTGAAATCATTGAACCGTGGCTAAATTTAAATCCCATTCAAACTGTCGACGCAACGCCTGCATTACGCAGAAATACCTCATACACACGGGCCTGGTACGTTATTACAAGTATGCTTAGCATTTTATACACATGTTTTATATAGGGAGATAGAGAGAAATAGCGCGAGACTGGAGTACGAAATTTGTGTATTTGCCTAGGCCATTGTCTGCGTATCCTTCAATAAAAAACTTGTGGCCGCTTTGTCTTCAACTTCACTCATTGCCGGTATCGATTTGTTTTGTAAATGAGCACTTGATTGGTGTTTGGAACGATGACGAGTTTACTTTGAACGATGAAGAAACGGGACTTAAAGGTGAAATTCCGCATGTATGCGGGATGTTTTCTTCTCTTTTTTTTTGAATGATCATGACAGACTTGAACGAAATCACAGGTCGTTGACAACATAAAAAGTTCCCTGGCATTTTGGTAGCGCCACCTACGCCCAAGAATTTGTTATGTTAATGTTTGTGGTTTTAAATATTTGATGTCTGAAGACAAAGAGTGTGTCTTGCTGTGAAGATGCAAGTAAATTTTTTTTTATCGATAACAATCATTCCTTGCGTTAAAAGTGGTTTTCTATCATTAAACAACTACTGGCATGCTAACCGAAAAAGTTCATCAAATTATTCCGATGAATAAACCAGAACATGTAAATTAAATTCATATAGAGATTTTATACCAAAAAACCCATTGCAGTACGGTTATTCGACTTGTTCCGACGGGAAAAACTATGCTAAATTTTCATCGTTAACGGAAAGTGGAAAACGATGGACTTTTTTGTTGAGTCCTTAATAATACACAATAAAGAGGAGAACGAATTCATTTTGGCATTGTATTGCTTAGGACTTTTTTCCGTTCCAAATTTCATGGTCAACTCAGCCAATAATAGTTATCGTTTCAATAATTTCCTTTTTGGAAGAATTTTTTTGTCCTCTTCTACCGTTTACACAATTACAATCGCTATTGATGAGAAATGTGGAACAAAAAAAATGAAAATAAAATAAAATTGGGTAGCAAAAATAAAAGCCCTGCTGAAGAGTTGAGTATGGATGAAAAACTATTCTCTTAAGATCTATTATGTGCAATAGAATTGTTATTTATAGCGTATTATGCGATTTCCCGAAGCGTATGTAGGTCTTTATTAAGGCCCATTGCCACAAAAATACAATGAATTTTTTGGACCCGATCAATTGCTCAGCATTCTGTGTAATTTAGCCTGGTTATCATTGAGGTTCCGGTTCGATTTCTGGTTTGAGTTGTTGTTTTTGTCTCTCTTTCTTCTTCTTTCCATCTCATTCTCTTGTGCTACTGTGATTTGCGGGCTTTGTTGATATGTTCATTGCAGTTTTTGACAAATCAATTTGTTGTTAGACAGTTTTATGTTTTATAAAACGTTTCTTTTCTACTGTGGTCACGTGTCAGACGTATAGCCGATATATGTATATATATAGCATTTTTTTGTTGTTGCCGTTTGCCCGAAACCATGCACACCATTCAATCTGAGAAATTTTGCGCTTAGAAGAGAAAACACTTTCCCTTTTCATTCTTGCACCCTGCACCATTCGTGTTCGAAATTATATAAGGATCGTGCAAAGTCATTTAGCATCATATCACAAGCATTTTAAATCCGAAACTAACAACAGCCAGCAAAATTGCATTAAACGCCTGATGCTGGAATTACGCGTGCACGAGTGTCACTAACATGTACTTATCAATGCACAATTTCATCATTTCAAGCCGATTCATATTGAAGCATATTCAAAATAGTAATACAGACAACCATTGAATCTTCAATTTTCAAATGATATTTTTCGTATTTGGAGCGTTCACCGAATAATGTTCTATTGGCATCGACTTAATCCTGTAATTAATTTTGGTGCCGTAATGCAACTGAAACAAATTACAACGTTTTTTCGCCATATATGACATTATTTCACAACTATTTTCAACACTATGCTAATGGATAAATTTCTATACGAACTTTCTTTTTGATTTCAAAATAAATGAACGCTGAATTGGGGTGCAAAATAAAACTTGCCAAGAATATGATAGAAAAAGAGAGAAAAAAAGAGTCAAAGTAAAAATTGAGAATGAAAATGACTTAAAGAATCTCATCGTCACCCCGCTCACTCATGGCAGTTGAGCTGGTAACGGTGGTTTCTGTGAGCTAGAGCAGGAGGTAACGGTGGTTGATTCATTCTCATTCTCAGCGACGGCACATGTGTATGGTAATAAAAAACATGTACACAACAAACATAATAATTGCGTAATTTCAACGTAGTTTTTTTTAATGGTGAAATGTATAACACACAAACATCCGTATATGCCATACATTTAAATGCAATATCATATATGCGTTAGTCTATAACATCAATTCAAATGAATGATCATTCAATTAATACACAAGAGAACATTTTGAGGTAGTTAAAAGTCTCTTTAATTTGCACGTGTCGAAAGTACACACGAATAATGGTTGTAGAATTGTTTGAGTACATGCAACTTCGGAGCATTGAAGTGTTGCCCCGCGATTTGTTTCTTTGTAATTTAGATTTATGAAATGTGAACGTGTACCACTTTGATGTCAGTTTAATATACCCAATGAGAGCGTTCCTTTTAAAAATAAAATTTCATTGACCTATTGACGTGTTGAAAAGAGAATTTCGCAAAAGGGAGTGTGATACCTTTGATGTATATGTCATCAATTATTATTTTCATCGTTTAAATAAGAAATAATTCTATGGAAATATATCGAACACAAACTCAAGTCTCAAGTGCTATTACAAGCTGTTCAACTTATTTGCACAGACTTAAAAGGGAATGTAGCCATAATATTCTCAATTTAATATTATTTTTGCGAATAAAATGTGATTATTCGCATAATAATTTGTGACAATTATTTAAAAAATAAATAAATAACATAATTATACTGTTTGAGTTGCGGTCAAAGGCCAAGATTTCAATGCAAAATATGATCGGAACAAAGTCAACTAAACATGCAAATGTCGTCAAATCGACCACTTGATTTCCTTTTTTAAAGCTATTTAATCCATGAGTCGGCGTAGCAAACTTAAGAGAAAACGGTAAAACGGTTAGGTTTTTGTCATTTTGTTGTAAACATTTTACGCTTTATTCGGGGCGACTATGATCATTGTAGGTTTGGCGTTCGAGCACTTTTAATGTTCTTTGATATAAAAAAACACACACTCTTAATGGTACAATGTGATCAACTTTAAAGGATGCAATTATACATTTTGTTCCGTCTTTCCATTGCTTTGATTTCATTTGTCAACATAATATTTCTTTCATTTCATACTGTTTCTGTGAATGCTTTTATGTTACAAAACATAAAACCAGTCTTTTCCTTTGATGCTTTTCTCTCTCTTTCTCTTTCTCTCGCTTCGAAAAGCATTTGCTTTGAAAGAAATTTAAAAAAAATTTGTTTATGCATATAATGTAAATGTGTATGCCAATCAGATAGAATATTCGATATTTTTATTTTTTCGAAAAAAAAAAAAAAAATTCAAGATATGCACTCATATCGTAAAGATAAAACAATTCCACTTACAAAATGACGATAAGAATGACCCATTGAATATAAATGTCACATTATTTTCTACGATTTTCCGTCGCAAGTGAATAATCGATAAATGATGTTCCATTATAGCAGTACACATTTTTCGCTTTTTATTTGGATTTTCGACGCTTCTTTTAACAATTTCGACTATAGAAGGTCGAAATATCGTTGTAAATAAAAAAATTCTGATGTGTTAATATCATCAGTTCTTTTTCTCGCTAAATTCAAATTCAATATCGATATATTGCAGAAATTTTATAAAAATTAAAAAATTTAATGGGCGTTGAAAAAGAGACGCTCAGATTACAAAAAAATATAAATTACAGAGCGAAACTGCTGTATTCCGAGTAAACAAAAGTTATTCTATATTTTAGTTTAAAAAAAAAATCGCCCACTGATTCAGGCATTTAATTTAGGTTTAGTTTCTTGTTAACTACTCCTTTTTACAGACGTTTTCTTGCATGATGACATAGTTCTATCATGAACGTCTAACATGTTCACTCGGAGTAATTTAAGGAGAGTTCTAATTTCCACCTTGTAGAGTTTAAAAAGTGTGTCTTTTATTTATTAGAAGTTAGACACTAACAAATTATTAAGGAAATCTTAGCCATCAATTCGTGTTCTTGCAGCACTTTGTGCAAAAATAAAAAAAATGTAGTTTCACGCTATAATCGATATTCAATCAATGCAAAATTTAAAAAAAAGAAAAAAAAATGCACCTTATTTCAATATGTACCTCGTAAATTATTTAAAATAAAAAATGTCAATTTTATTTTGACTAGTGTTTTCCATAAAATAGTATTCAATTTAATTTAATGAACTCTTGAAAAAATATAGAACATTGCAAAAGAGAATGTTGATTCGTGTTGGTGGAGATTTGCGATTCCATTTATCCAATTTGAATATTAAATATGACAGAATATTGCAAATTCAAAGTGTATGGCAATTGAAACGGTTTTGAACAAAATCTGAATTCATATTTAAACAACATTGGAACCATCCGAATAACACTTGAAACCATATTTTGACAAAAAATTTCAAGAGATAGACGACCTACTGTGTTTTTCAATTTTAAATAAATTTTGACGAGATTGGAGTTCAAGTACTGAGTTCATAAAATTAAGAGCGCCACTTGAAAAGTAAATTATCGCATAAAATCGAAGTAAAACTGATGGCATCAATCGCATCGAATAGGGGATGGTTAAAATGTCTCGATGCGATGTCAAAATGCAATATGTGTAAATAAATAAATGAGTAATTTATGTTCATCATAAATTAATAGGTAGCTCCGTTCGTTACCATCAAACGACATAATATATCATGTTTTCGTATGTCAATTGAAGTGCAAATAGAAATTTATAAGTATGTACATTTCATTATGTATGCTATTTAATTGTTTACTCGTTTTACCACTTTGTCCTTCATCCCATTCACTTATCAAAATTGAAAACTTCGAAGTCGGAAAATAAAACAATCGATTGAAACTACAATTGCTATGCAAAAGTTTTTTTATTTTCAAATTCACATCGTGTTTTCAAATTCAAGTGTTCTTAATCCTCTTCTCATTTATTTATTTCTTCATTTTTTTTAATTCAGATCGAATAATGCATAGCCATGGAACGTCAATGAGCCAAAGTGCATTATTTGGCTGTTCCTCGGCTGGTCATAGCGGTATCAACCAATTGGGTGGAGTTTATGTAAATGGCAGACCATTGCCCGACTCAACTCGGCAAAAGATTGTCGAATTGGCACATTCTGGTGCCAGACCTTGTGATATTTCTCGCATTCTTCAGGTTTCAAATGGATGTGTTAGTAAAATATTGGGAAGGTAAGCAATTTAGTCTTTTTTTTCTTCATTTTCAACGATGTTCTTTCGATGTATGAGATTATTTTGACTGTCAGTCAATTCATTTGATAGAGAAATCATCTTCGTTCAAAATGAATATTTTTAGAAAAATTCTAAATTTGTTTTTAATTTGTGTGTTTATATTTAGATATTATGAAACTGGTTCAATAAAACCACGTGCGATAGGCGGCTCAAAACCAAGAGTAGCCACCTCACCAGTTGTACAAAAAATTGCCGATTATAAACGAGAATGTCCTAGTATATTTGCGTGGGAAATACGAGATCGTCTATTATCGGAAGCGATCTGTAATAGTGACAATATACCAAGCGTAAGTATTTTCCATTTTTATTTCGATTTTAATAATGTATCGTATTTGTATTGTGAATGTAATTTCTTTTTGTATAGTCATATTATTTTTACATATTTTTATTATTTATTTGATATTTGGAAAACGTTATTTCATATTTGGAAAATGATTGATTCCTTTAGATGATTGATTCATTACAATAGAAAAATAAATTAGATCGGATTCATGGCTTTCTCTGAATATTCTTATTAAATCACCAAAAGAAAAGTGAAACAGAATGGTCCGAAATGAATGTCGTTCTTTTTTAATCAAACAAAACAATAACATAACATAAATAGTTACATCCAAAGATTTGAATGGTTGACTTCACTCCCTCTCTCTCTCTTCTTCGTTATTTACATAATTTAAATGAAATGCTACACACAAATTTCGTGCATTTACTAAACAAACATAAAACGAAATAAATTTTGTTTTACTGTCGACTGCGAGTTATTCCATACATTCGATATGAAAATATTGGTTATTTTTACAAAATTGTCGAACAGTTGTAAATAGATATGTACAACAACCGTATGGTATTATTTTTCGTTAAATCAAGGTAGGTGTATGAAAACATTGATATTATTTATGTGGTATGCAAATGCAGTGGATTGCTTCGTTTTCGAAGCATTTGATATGAACATTTTCACATTTACAATTACAATATATAACGAATCGACAAACGACGAATATATAAAATAAATGACACACACACATCTATATATATAAACACGCACACAAATAGATCGGGTACGTAAAAGAACGGCGAGAGTTGCAAAAGTAAAATTGTCGAAATGGTATGAATAAGGAGGTGTGTTTAATCATGCGCACCAGTACGTGAAAAACCAACAACAACCTCATGTCACTACTACCACTATTATCGTCTAGAAAATCATTGTGTCTTTCTTAGCGAATAAGCGCAGCGTGTGCGTATTTTATAAGCGAACATGCTTTCATCGTTACAAAATGAACAGAACAAAAACAAAATTCGATGCGAGCAAGAACGGGAATAAGAACGAGAAATCGCATGTACGCACGGTAAATGCCAAAGCTCCCCACTGAAATGTGTTAAGCGAACAAAACCAAAGACACATTAATATAAATACACACAATCACAAAAACAGGATCAGCACCACTTTTCAAACAACAAGCAAGCGAAAAAAAAAGTACTTCATAGGGCAATCCTATTTGATATATAAAGAAGAAGAAAAAAACTAAACATACAGAAGATAAAACTTTGTATGGGGCTAAGTCCGTGCGTTCCTTTTCTCTTTCTCTTTCTCTGTACGCTTTTTTTCTTCACTAAACACTTTTCATGCGATAAATTCTGAAATGTTTGGAAATATACTCGTATTTTCCACTTGAAATGTATCGCTGTCAAAGAACAAATCGAAATATTTTGAATGAAAGAAAGATTAGAAGCAAGAATCAAATAACAGTTCAACGCCTAGCAAATCGAAAGTCTGCTTTTAACATTACATGCGACACGTACTCCATTTTGAATAATTTGAATCAACATCAAATTTGCATAAGTATAATAAAAAATGTTGGGTGTTTGCATTCAGGAAAATTGAAAAATCGTCAAAAGTTTTCTTCATCAATTTTGTTGGTAAACCACATGAAGGCACACACACACACAGATAAACACATATATACATTGCTGCAATTTCATTTAATTCGATGAATTCCATTTTCCATTTGCATTTGGCGTTTGACGTATGCGTTAACAAGATCAAATAAATTTACAAGATGCAAAAACTGCAATTCTTGGTTAACGTCACTTGTGTAGATGAAGATATGTCCGTACAAGCGAAAATAATTTTAAAGTTTGACAAGTGTTTTACAAATGTATGTCGAGCTTTTTTAAAACATAAACTGTCTTATTTCAAATTTATATTGTCGCCAATCTGCGAAGGCTGAAGTATTTTTCTTTTTTTTTTTTAATAAATTGAAAGTTTTGAAATCGAGTCAAATATCCAAAAGACTTGGAGAAAATTGAAAATATTTCTGATATATTTTATTGAAATGTCAATAATCTATTCTGATTTTTCTAGTTTTTTTTTTTTCAATATTAAACAAAAAGTCGGCGATAAGGATTGTTATCTATATAGAGCATTAAATGATTCAAATGCATTGATTATGATAAATGCTTGGAAAGCAATAAATTGTAAATATATCAGACGCATATTTTCAGCAGATATGAATTTTGTTTTTACGACATTGCCATGATCAATGGGATGTTACGTAGATGCGAATAGGCGTACTTTCACTTTGTTGACAAATTGGCAGAAACAGATAAACATTGACGAAAATTCGCAGTTGCGTAATGTTAAGAAGACGTTTGCAAATTTTACGTAATTTATTTTCAACAAAATGCTATGTTTTACCCTGGTGCGTTCGTCAGCAAAAACTATTTTGTTGCGTCGCTAAAATAACTGTCTGTTTACTCGGTGTTTACAGCAAAAAGTTTTTCATTTGCAAAAGTTTCACCTTTAAAACCATAATATATTTTTAGCGACATACGGCAAATGAATGATTTAAAATCACATTACATGATTTGCAAGATTTATATCCATTTAAAAGAAAAAAATCGAAACATTTTTGAATGAAGTTTGAGATAAATACCGCCAAACTGCTATAACAACGACGTAATGCATTTGTAAAATTAATTGACTCATAAAATTATGACATGAGTTGTAGTAAGGCAGATAAATGGTAAAAAAACGCTGTTATAAAATGTTCTATTGATTTTTTGAACCCTATCTAATGTCATTCCAAATAAACACTAATGAAATTTCGGCAATAATTACATTTTCTGTTTTGAGTTTCCACGTAAATTGCGGAAAAATTGTATTTGGTTTTGCGCCAAGTGCGGATCGGCTGTATTACAATGAAGTGCAACACGCACAAGCACAGTTTTCACGGAACATAATCGAAAATCGAATTTTGCTTGGGCTTGCGCTTCTATATGGTTGGTACACACAAAATATTCCCATTTTGCATTACCATATCAAAGTAAATACATGCATTTTGCGAAATCACCCTTTTTCATGGATGGCTCCGTTGGTAGACAAGCAAGAAACAAGCAAATGAAATGGAGAAAAGTTAATAAAAAATTTGTTGAATAAATTTACCCATCAGCGTCGTCTCATTTGAGGCCCGGTAATACTTTGTTTATAGTTACAAACATGCGTACTAATAGAACAGCCACCGATTCACAGCAATTTCACATGGATTGGATGGAATGGATGGAATGAATGGATGAAGATATAAAATTGTGAAAATGTATGTAATTTTAAGATTGTTGTGTGGATTTTCTTTGTGCGTTGAAACGAGTAGGCAGATTCGTTTCGTGCAAATTGGATGATTGTGTTTGTATTTGTATTTGCATGGGCATACGGGAGAAGCGTTGGAGGGCATTCAAACAGGCAAACATTCATAAGACGAGCATTCTGTGCGTTTACAAATAATTCTTTATGCCATTCATTTTTTTTTATTTTCAACGTCGCCAAGTTCAACCATTTCCATCATCAGAGGTTTTTTTTCCTCTGCTCTCTCTCTCTCTCTCTCTCTGGTTTTTCTTATTATTTTCATCGCTTTACACATGGCTGCGCACATAGATCCCACTGTGCATATTTCCCCATTTTCGTGTTTTCACTGAGACTCGAGCACGTTTATGTATACTACAGACTTTATATCGGCACATAGATAACTAGCAGGGAAAAAAAAGAAGAAAATCCTATTCGAAATGAAATGGCGCCATTCAAAACACACGGCAACACACACACACACACACACACACACACATACATTGTGTGGAATGGAATTGAGCTTTTGGAAACCAACTGAAAATGCGCTCAGACAACCATAGACGTGGGCTGTTATTCATTGACAAACCAAATAAAATATATAATTAAAGAAATTTCCTATTTATATTTCCATTCACATTGAAACAATTACTCCAATTTCAATTCACTTGTGACAAAATGTCGTTCCAACATCTTGACTCAAAGTGTACAATCAACGTATTCGCATAATGCAAAATGCACAATCGTACAAGTGATAAGCTTCTTCATGTTTGTGAACAACAAACAACAACAAATAATAATAATAAAAAAATATTCGTATTTTAGTCGTTTTTAACATAAACAATTTTCGCTTTCCTCTGACGACTAATTATGTGCTACGTACATTACTTTTTATGCATACAGTAGCTGCATTTAACTTTTTAGTCTTTTCCCTTTGCTTTCATTTCGTTTACAAAGAAAACAAAGAGTTTTCAACTTTATTTTTATGTACACAACCGTTTGAACAGAGAATTTCTCGGAGAAAAATACCGCATTTCGAATCGGTTCACTGTATATGTGGCCTCAAAAAAAGTTGTATGAAATACTCATCAGTTTCATCTTTATTTTAATTTAAAAAAATTAATTTTTTTCTCACATAAATTTCTCGATTTTCTATACAAATTTTATTTATTTATTTATTCGGTTTTATTGTCTACCAAAACTGGCCGACAGTTACAAATCAAAGCTTGGAAAAGAGTAGTGAACCCTCCTTAAAAACCAAGATCTTTTCAAATATCAAATGTATAATACAAAATTCGTTAAAAATTAAATTAAAAAATAAGTTTCAAAAAGGAAGTATTATCACAAAAATAGACAAATTCAAAATTCTCGAGATCATTTGAGCTCAGTCAGATAAAATCAAATTTAAACATACAGTTGAATAATTAATTAAAAAACTAAATTGGTAATAAAAATAATAATAATAAATAAAATAAATAAATTCTTTAGTTTAAATATCACATCGATTGGTATTGTAATGATCGTTAGCTTCTCAGTTTGCATAAGTCTCCGAACAAATTATCCGGAATACTTTCTAGCTTTTTCGCGAATACAGCCGTTGGTAATGTTGGGTCAATATGCAGAGCAGCAAAGTTGAATGCTCTGCATGCAGTGTAAAATGACGAATAGAGAACG